CTCTCAGGAGTGAGGCAGGAGGATCACTACAAGTTCAAGGCCAGCCAGGGCTACACAATGAGTTCAAGCCAGCCTCGACTACGTGGCAAGATCCTGTCTCAAAAACCAGGGCTTGGGATTTAGTTCAGTGGTATCATATTTATCCCAATCACATCAACAGCACACAAGAACTATCTTTTCTCTGTGTTTGGCACCAATCCCCCTTACTATATTCTACCGCTACGAGCCAAGAGAAACAGCATAGCCGCCCTATAGTGCTTCACACGCATGCCCCAAGGACCCAGGACCAGGGTGGCCAGGAGAAGCTCTTGGGGCAGGGGCAGGAGGAATTGGGCCAGGTGCTGTCTTGTGCCCTGGGCACCCCAATGGCCTGCCGGCTGACTAGAGTAGGGCAACACTATCTGCCAACAGCCCTCTGGGTCCCGGGCTGGCGGCCCCTCCTAGGAGCAACCGCAGGTCCGGTGCCCCCGGAGCTCAGAGGCTGTGAACCTCGAGTGGCCCTGCTGTGGTCCCCACTCTCTAGGCAGTGTGGCCAGCACGGTCCCAAGGAGAGCATGGCAGGCAGCACTACCTTCTCATCCAGTGTGAAGCGGTGGTAGATGCCCGCTGGGAGGGTGATCATGTCGCCCTTCTCCATGGAGATCCGGATCCACCTGTCGTCCTTGTCCCTGATGTCAAAGTACCCGCTGCCGTCCAGGATGTAGCGGATCTCCTCGTCCAGGTGCAAGTGCTCCGTGTAGAAGATCTGGATCTGGGGGAGCAGGAGTCCTGTGAGGCGGGAAAGGAAGGGTCCCTCCCCACAGTGACACAGCCATGACCACACAATGTCCATGGAGCCACTGAGGGACCCGAGGGGACAGACCCACCCTGGGCTGAGGCAGGAGACTTCCCGGGGAAGATCAGCGGAAAAACCTGAGCCTTCCATGGTGAAAGCCACGCCCTTCCTGGGGATTGCACCTCAGGCTTCACCCTCCAGGCACTGTTAGCATCTCCCAGCTATACCTGGGGGTTCGGAGTCTTCCTACGTAAAGGTTACAAGTTTCTGGTCGGTGTTGGGGCACATACGTATAATCCCAGCACTCTGGGAGGCAGGAGGATTACAAGTCTAAGCCCAGCCTGGGCTATTCAGTGACTAAGTGAGACTTTGTGAGACTTTGTCTCACTTAGAAAAAAAGGGCTGGGATGCAGCTCCATGTGAAGGCCCTGAGTTCCATCGCCAACAATGCAGGAAAAAAAAAAAAAGTATCCCATTTCACTGCACCTCAGGCTTCACCCTCCAGGCACTGTTAGCATCTCCCAGCTGTACCTGGGGGTTTGGAGTCTTCCTACGTAAAGGTTACAAGTTTCTGGTCGGTGTCGGGGCACATATGTATAATCCCAGCACTCTGGGAGGCTGAGGCAGGAGGATTACAAGTCTAAGCCCAGCCTGGGCTATTCAGTGACTAAGTGAGACTTTGTCTCACTTAGAAAAAAAAGGGCTGGGATGCAGCTCCATGTGAAGGCCCTGAGTTCCATTGCCAACAATGCAGGAAAAAAAAAAAAGTACCCCATTTCTGGAGACGCTGAATGTCTGGAAAATCGGCCCTTATAGAAGGACAAAGGGCACGGGCCCCTCCCTGGCAGTCGGGTTTCACCATGGGAGCTGTGGGCAAGGTGGTGGGACAGGAGGGGGCTTCGACATCCTATACAGACTTGGGAGCCACATCTGCCCCAGTGGGGCCGACCTTGGCAACACGAGCAAGGTCACACGGGCTATCCTGAGTGCCGAGAAAGACTGCGACAGCTCCCAGACCACACAGGCTGCCCGCATGCCTCCTGCAGTGTAGATGCTGCCATGGCTGCCAGGAAGTAAGAGAGATGGTGAGTATCAGGTGCAGGGCATGGCGTGGCGTGCAATGTACAGTTCTAACTTCAGAACCTGCTTATGATTTACCAAGTCACAGCACTCAGGAGGCTGAGGCAGGAGGATCACAAGTCCAAGGCAAGCCTGGGGTATATGCTGAAACCGTGTCTCAAAAAAACCAAAAACTTAAGAAAGAAATAAGAAAAAAGTCTTAAAACCAGTAACCTCAGCTTCTACCTAAAGAAATTAGGGGAAACAAAGAGCACATTAAACCCAAAGCACATAGAAGGAGACAAAGATCAGAGCAGAAATCAATAAAAAGAAAAAAAGAATCAATGAGGCCAAAGTTCCCCTGAATATCAACGAAATCAGTGAGTCACTAGCCAGGGCCAGCAGGGGAGACGCATGGCACCAGGTCAGCACCCACAGGTGTCCGGGACAGGAGGGGATGTTCAGAAGGACCTGAGGCCACAGAGAGATGCCCGGCCCCAGCTCCTCTGAGCTCAGTGTGTGACATGTCTGGCCAGGAGCTGGACATGTGGTCACCGTCCTTCCCAGGCATAATGCCGCCTGCCTGTGATCTCAGTACTCTGGACACTGGGGCAGGAGGATCACAAGTTCAAGCCCAACCTGGGCAACTTAGCCACTTAACAAGAAATAAAAATAAAAGGGCTGCGGATGTGACTCAGGTTCAAATCTCTAATACAAAAATAAAAAACAAAAACAAGCCCTGCTCCCCAGCCACCACTGGAGAGTCCACCAAACACGGGAAGATACCACCACCTTGCTGAGGGCTGGGAGGGGGACCCACGTGCAGGACGGCCACTCCACTTCGAATCTGCAGGAAGATGGTAACGGGAGAGAAGGGGCCGCATGTCCCTCCTGGCGGCCTCACCTTCTCCTTGAAGTTGGGCAGTTTGTCCCTGCAGATGGTGATGATGTCCATCCAGGAGTAGCTCCGGTCCCTGCGGATCTGCGCCAGCGTGGGATCCGTCTCATACTTGTCAGCATCCAGCTATGTGAGCAGGTGATGAGGGGGAGCCCCATTAACATGAAGGGACATGAACGCCTCTCTCAGGACCCCCAGGATGATTCTATCCTAGCCAAACACATACTCATTCCTCTGACATTTTTACTGTTTATTTGCTTGCAATACTCTGGGCTGAAACCAGGACCTCACACTGGGATGGTGGAGCCAGCCCTATTTGATTTCTTTTTGAGACTACAGGTGGGCTTGAATTTGTTATCCTCCTGTCTCAGCCTCCCAGAGTGCTGGAATGATGGGTATGCACCACCATGCCCAGCTTCACTTATCCCTTTGCCAGCTCTAAAGCTTCCCTCCTTCCCATCTTCTCACTTCCACCTCCAAGAGGCCGACCCCTTCTTGTCCCTGTCACCCGACTGGCCAATGACACTGCTCTGTCCTGTAGCCCATTCCTCTGCCACTTCCACAGAGAAGGGGTCTCACTGCCACTGGGCCAAGGCTTGGCCTCAGGGTGTCCTGGGCCAGGTGTCAGGGGCCCCTCCAGCCCACACAAGCTCAAGTTCATCAGGCTGGGACAAGAGCACATCTGTCCTCTGGACCCAGGAGACTTTTCTACTTCTATCCCCCCACCCCACTGATTTTGAAAGAAATCTACATTCTAGAGCTGGGCATGATGGCGCACACCTGTAATGCCAGTGCTTGGGAGGCTGAGGGAGGAGGATCGCTGTGAGTTCTGGGCCAGCCTGGGCTACACAGTAAGCTCAAGGCCAATCTGGACCTCATAGCAAAAACCTGGTTCAAAAAAACAGGGAAAAAAAAAAGCAAAAATGGTCCCGATCAGTTCCTTCTGTTAAACAAAAGGCAGGGACCCACTTTGGCACGGAGCTCCTGACCCTGAAACAGCACAGACATCAGCTCCACACTCCACAGAACCAAAGTGAAATCCGAGAAAAGCAGATCGACCTCAAACACCAGTGCAACCTAAAAACAGGAAAGTCCAGGCTACGTGAGCAGCCTAGAACCTGCCTTCCGCCTTAGCGCTCACAGAAAATAACCCTCACCTGCCTGTGATTCTCTCCTCCCACCTTCCATAACCATTCCTCAGCCAACCCCTGTGGGAGCTTCCGTGTATTGAGGGACTGGTTCCCAGGCAGGGTTGCACATACACACACACACACACACACACACACCCACACACCAAAATCCATGTGAGTGTGCAGGACACACAGGTCCTGTTTATTGGTCACTGCCTGAGACTACAGTTCCTGGTGCCCTGCCTTACATGAGTGGCTGCACTTTGTTCTGTAGGAGAGAAATACAGCTGGGCATGTGCGGGACAGCTGGTGCAATTTTTTAATATGTTCATCAGCAGCTGGTTGAATCCATGACACTGACCTCTCAGCGAGAGAAGGCTGACTGTTTTGCAGCATGTAAATTTCTCTGATTCACAGTTCTTGTAAGAGCTGATCAGAGCTTTAATTTGTGTGGTTTTTGTCTCTTGACACCATTGATGCAGAAGAGAGAAAGCATCAAACCACACACAGGTCACAGGCTGTCGATGGGGCGTGCAGCGCTTCCTGGGCATGCAGAAGGCCCTGGGTTCCATTCCCAGCACTGCCACACACGCACACGTGCACACACACGCACACACATGCCTGTGCATGCCTGGTGTACAGATCCCATGGGTGAGCTTTTCCTCTCACATGGGCTGTTATTATTTTTCAGGGACTGACGTCCTCTTTTGAAGACAGTCTTCACTGGGACCTGCACAGGGCCCACGGGGTGACCTTTCATTTGTTTTTCAGACAGGGTATTACCATGCAGTTCAGGCTAGCCTCGAACCGGCAGTGATCCTCCTGCCTCTGCCTTCTAAATGCTGGAATTACAGGCCCTGGCTAGGTGATTTTTTAATATCACCCTCGGGTCACTAGCGCTGAGTTCGTTCATACCTCTCACCCTCTGTCCCACAAATGCCCTTCCGGTCTGCTCCACGCCCGGCTGCCCTAGTGCTGTCGGGGGCGCGCAAAGCGGGTCAGCGTGGGGCTCACTCGGATTGCACTCACAATGAAAGGATGGCTCTGAGCAGGTGGTGGCACAGGCATGTAATCGCGGTGTCACTGTTCAGAGTCCAGAAGCAGATCCCCAGCCTGGCGTGGTGACGCACGCCTGTCATCCCAGCACTCAGGAGGCCGAGGCAGGAGGACTGCAAGCTGGAGCTCAGGCTGGGCAATTTAGTAATTTACAGAGGCCCAGTCTCAACACTGAAGAAGCCTGGGGGTGCGGCTCAGCTCGCTCCCTAGTACTGCAGAGAAGGCTGGCTTTAGGGTGGGCCTCTCCTGCACTCCATCTGACCCAGGAATGTTCAGCGGCTGGAGGCAGACTCTAACACAAGTAGGGGCCTCCCCGCAGCCTCTTCGGGGCCCACCCCAACCCGAGCATGCGCAGAGCGGCCCGGACCGGAGGCCACAGCACCAGACCACCAGCCCCGT